GCTATTGACAAGCAGCTCTATTTCTCCTTTTCATCTTCAGCAGGCCTGGCTGCAAGAATGGACTGGATGAGGGCTATCAAACTGAAGCTCAATCCAGACAAGATTGTGATGCTATTAGTGGGTTGTTCTTCTGACCAGATGGTGAGAATTCAACCTGTTCTAGGTGGGGCAGTATTCCCTTTGAAGGAATGTTCATGGCTTGGGGCCATCCCTTGTGGCCCTGGTTGCTTCAGTGACTCAGAGTGCCTTCTACCAGGTTTGGCTCATTACTAATTACAGGGATTAGAGCATATGATCACATAACACAGCCTGCTTACAGTGGCTGCCTATATCCTTCCAAGCCCAATTGAAGTTGCTGGTTTTAACCTATAAAGCCCTGAATGGCTTGGGACCATGATACCTTACAGAATGCCTCTCCCAGTCTTCATCTACCTGGATACTACAATCAGATTCTGGAGCCTACCTTCAGCTGCCACCTCTGAGGAAGGCTCAGATGGGGCAACAAAGAGAAGGGCCTTTTCAGTGGTGACTGCTAATGATGGAACAAGAACCCCACTGAGGCTCAGCTAACATCAAGCAACCTACTAGGGCCTGTTTACTGTTAAACAAATCTTAAGATTTTTCTTCCAGAGGGTGGGTGGGGGGGAGATCTGTTTGAAATTTGGTTTTAAATTTTATATGGTAAAGTTTTTGTGATGTTTTAGTATGATTTAATATGATGTATCTTTTCTTGCTATTTTTATGTGCCCAGGCTTTTGGGCAGAATTGAAAATGAATGAATCTGCAAACATTCAAAGGATACTGGCTGGACAGTCACAACTGACTGTGGCTCTGTGCCCAGCCATGTTTCCCCTTTTCACTTCATAATTGGCAAAACCATTTCCTTGGTGGAACTGCAGCACATTTCCCAGGTTTATTTTACTGCATTTTCCAGTTTGTTTTCCTTGTTGAATTATGCTTTTAATTGTTTAAACAAATTGGTTTATTATGCATTTATAATTTTAATGTAAGTTGCCCTAAGCATACAGTTTATTTATTTGTGTTTCTCTATGTATAAGTATTTTATACACTTGTCATGTGTAACATATTTTTGTCATATACAATAATGAAATTATAAATATGCATTATAGTTTCTCTTCCTGATAAACAGAGTACGGCATAAATGTCCACTTCATCCAGTAGATTTTTAAGAAGCTGGATAACAGAAGCGATGATATGAGTTTGGTTCCTTGCAGGAAAAAAGGTGGGATATAAATGTGATGATGAAGGAGGACAAGAAGAAAGACAAAATGATATTTTCCTGTGTATTCAGGCACCCCAGTGATACACAGATTGCTACAGCAAGGGCCCCTCTTTTGAATATCAATTTTAACCTGCATTTTCATAAATATTATATTGTAAGGGCAGGGATAGGTAACATGCTACACTCCAGGTGGTTTGGCCTACAGATCCCATGATCCCTGACTATTGGGCCTGTTGACTTCGACTTATGGGAACTGTAGCCCAAAACCAACTAGAAGGCTGCACTGCCCCTCCTGTAAGGCCATTCAGCATTTTTGTGCATTGGCCACAGAATCTTTAAGTTTGATCTTTCATGGTAGACAACCAACTTGAACCATGCAACCCATAATGTTACTTCCCAGGTAGGACTTCATAAATGAGACCAATTCTCATACATATCTGCTGTGTCTTTCAACATTGTTTTGAATAATGGGGGATCAATAGAGAAAGGGTGAATGGTTAGAATAATTTTTCCTAGTTCATTTTATAATGTCTCCCCTTCCATAACAATGGCTTTTGGGGTGATGTGTGGGCTCTGTGGGGTGCAACATGTTTTTCACCAGCCAGATATGGAAGATTTCAACTCCAAGAAAAGCAGTGGTGCTACAAGCCATAACAGAATTTTTGCAAGACCCATCCTATCCCTTTCAGGTCCTTTTGTACATCATAAAAAATAGCAGTGCTGGTTCCAGGTTTCTGGGGGTCCTTGGGCAAGACATCCTCCATAAGCCCCCTCCCTTAATGAGCCTACCTTCACGCCACCATTGTCACCAAGTACAATTTTTCCTCAGTCTTCTCATTATTGCTACTACTTGCAAGCAAGGAGGCCTTGGCATCTACTATGCCTCTTTCTACCACTACAATAGTCCGAGTGAGGTTCTAGTAGTTAGAAGAGGAACAAGTCCAGGGTGCTCTTGCCACTCTCTGTTGGAGGATGGCCCCTTGACAGGCTAGGTTACGTGGCACGGCTCCACTTTTTGCTCCCATGTGGAGGGAACTTTATTCCAGAAAGACCAAACAGCGTTCATGGCTGCCAGCCAATCAGCAGAATTCATAACTAGGTTTTACTGCTAACTTGTGAAACTATTCTTGCTCAGTGCTCAACCTTGCAGAGGAAAAGTATGTTTGCTTCTAAAAGTCCTCATCTGCAAACCACTTTACACTGTATCATTAACAGTAGATTCATCTGGAATTAAGAATTGGTCTGCTTTAAAATTTTGAATTTAAAATTCACAAGTGTGAATTTCAATTGTATAATTGTTTGAACTCTATAAAAAGTAAATAACATTCAGTTGGGAAAATTAATACCACCATCATACTGTATTATAAGCTAAATAAAAGCCCTTGCATCTAAACAGAGCCAGTGTGGTGTAGTGGTTAAGAGCATGGGACTGGGACTCAGAGGATCTGGGTTCGAGTCCCCGCTCGGCCATGGAGCCAACTGGGTGACTTTGGGCCAGTCACAGACTCTCAGCCCAACCTACCTCACAGGGTTGTTGTTGTGGGGATAAAATGGAGGAGGAGATGTAAGCTGCCTTGAGCCCTTGGTAGGAAAAAGGCAGGATATAAATCCAAAAAAAAAAAAAAAAAAAAAAAAAAAAAAACAGTAATACACTGTAGAATTAGGGCAAAAACATAAAAAGAGCCATGATGGATCAGACTGTCCAGTCCAGCATTCTGGTCACAAACTGGCTAACCAGCTGTCCAAGGAAAACTCATAAGCAGGCTATGAGTGCAACGGTAACATCCTGTCCAAATTTCCCAGAAACTGGTATATGTAGGCCTACAGCATCAGAAACTGGAGGTAGCATATAGCCATTAGATGTCTCCTTTATGAATTTGTTCAGTCCCCTTTTAAAGGCATCACTACATCTTGTGGAAGTAATTTCCATAGTTTGACTATGCACAGTATGAATTGCTTCCTTTTATCTGTCCCAAATTTTCCACCAAACAGCTTCATGGGATGTCTCTAGGGTCTAGCACTATGAAAGAGAAAAACTCCTCACAAAAGAGTTACTCCATCTTCTTGATCACTTTAGTTGCCATTTTCTGCATGTTTTCCAACTCAGCAATATCGTGTTAAGGTGCAGTGACCAGAGCTGTACATGGTGTGCTAAATGTGGTCACATCATAGATTTGTATTAAGACAGTATGACATTGACAGTTTTATATTCATTTCCTTTCCAAATTATATCTGACATGGAGTTTGACATTTTCACTGAGCTGTTCACAAAAACTCCAAGATCTCTTTCTTGGTCAATCACACGTAGCTCAGATCCCATCAGTTTATACCTGAAGTAGGGATTTTTGCCTCAAAGAAGAGAGACAGGAGAAATGCAAGTCTAACAATGAATCAAAGAAAATTACTAAATGAGTAATCCTATTGCCTCTAAACAGCACCTGAGTGGTTATCAGATATTTCACATTCCCATATCCAAGGCTGGAAACAGCACTCTGACCTCAGGAGTTGGTAATTAGACCCTGGACCCCTCTCTCCCTTGCAACGAGTGGAGAGAGGACTGCACTGGCTGCCTCTGAAGCTGGAACCACAGCCTTGGAAAGAGCTAAAGGTGGACATTTCAGTGGGCAGGGATGGAAGGAGACTGGAGAGGCCAAGACACAAGATATCCTGAGACCTTTCCAGTCTACTCCCATCCCCTTCTAATATGTCCCAATTGGATAGGCATAAAAGAGATTCTACCAAAAATGCAGGAAACAAGGATGCAGGGCAAGGGGGAAATCACCAATGTTGGTCATCCCACCCTACATGGGATAACAATAAGCTTCCAAGTTCAGGGTCTTAGAATCATCAAAGCAGAATTGTGTCCTAAGATTTTTTTATAGCATTCATATTCCAATCATTAATGCAATCTTCTCCAAGACTTAATGCCAGAACCAATAAATTAAGTGCATGTTGTAGATGCATCAAATTTGCTTTTCCATTACATTGTCAACAAGAAGAAAAGACAGATATAGGAGCCTGTTTAGCCTCAATAGGGTAAGAGGCCACTAAAGTAATTTTCAACTGAATTGACAGAAGGAGATAGTTTCATACCAGCCCCCCACAAATATTTCTAAGTGTTGTCACTTGACTTCAAATGCTTCCAGATAGAGGGTTCCTAATGGCACCAATCAGAAGCCATGCTGCTTTTGCTTTCCAGCTTTCCTACCTTAATGGATTTTCTTTGGTGAGAAAAAAAGAAGAAATGATGGACAACACCAGAGAGTTACAGATGGAACACAATTTCACATGGATGCCACATAAAATTCTGTGAATGAGCAGGAAAATTACATGAGAAAAACCTAAACTGGAAGAACCCTTCTTCCTTTAACTCTTCACGCCACTTAAAAACCTCCGTCAAAATGCAATGATGCAGGTAAAATACAGCTGCAAAGTCTTCATTTTGGTTTGGGCTAAGGACATTTAACATCTAAACACCTACTAAACGTTCAACTGCTTTGACTATTAATTTAAAAATCATTATAAAAGAGTGCAATTTCCAAATAACAAGCAGGATGAGGAAGAAATCAACTGCACATGTTTCATACAAAAGGAACAAAATACATGGGAGACAGATCTGAGTGAAAACCATGCCTAATGTTTAGATCATCTGCCTTACTCCATGGTAACCATTTAAAGTGTACTTTGCTGGTTGTGACCCTAGAGCAATTTTCCTTGGGGTAAAAGAGACTTGGAAGAAGTCTTATTTATGACTTACTTGAGCTTGCTTGCATAGTTTGAAAGGATGGAGGGTTTCTTGATAAAAAAGTTGATGATAATCCTGCAGGTCAAGCCAGAAGTGCGTGCTGTTCTTCCACAACTACAGATTAAGAGACAGAGGGGAAAAAAACAAAAGAAGAAGAAGTTACTGATACTCAGTTTTTGCATCTTTAAAAAAATGTTTCGATTTCTGAGGTTAGTAAGAACTTGGCTCCTTGGGGTCACTATAAATCACACTTCATTTAAAATAGTTGGAGCAATGCGTTCTGTACTGGCAGAAGGTTAGCGCAGGAAAAGGCACTGCCACTGTAATACATGCCGTATCTTGCATTGTATCCTTGCATATAATTGGCTATTAAAATTGTTAACGTTATAGTTAACATTTGAAGATCAGCCACATTTGGAGAGAATTAAGCCAGAGGTTCATAATGCGCATCAAAAATTTATGCTGTGCTGGGACAACATTTTCCAGCAATTACTGAGATCATTAAATGTTTTTATTATATGCCTTTCAACCATCCCTCACTACAGCCTGGTGCTGCTGCACAGACTTAAGTATTTCCAGAGGAACAAAAGTGCTTCACAAACCCCATTACCTCAGAGGCTCTTGTCCTTTTAAAACAACATTTGAAGGTTTTTATTTTGAAACATGAAAACAGGCATCATTGCCTTATATCTAGGCACTTGCGTATTTGTGTTTGAACTTTTCAGCTCACCAGAGATGCAGCAAATGTAAATTTTGACCATGAAAACTGAACTGTATGTGACATTTTAAGAAATTATTTTAGTAAATTGTACAGAATGGACTGTTCTTCAGGCCTTATTCTGAACAAAAGCATTAATCTATTGATTCTACTAAATTACAAGCTCATAATTAACTATTTAAGGTTTGCTTAATTCAGCATTAATAGGACTTTCCATAGAGTATGTCTGCTAACTATGCCCATCTAACAGTCTACAGCAAAAGATACTTCCAGGTAAGCATGTTCAGGATTAAAGACTTACACTTACCTGTAAATTAGTCTTACTGAAATCAACAGATCATTGTTTTTAGGTGAGAGTTTCAGACTGTAGCTGTAGGATGAAATACTAAACACTTGAAAATAAAATCCATTGAAATAGCAGTTCATTCTCCCAAATAAGTAAGTTTGAGACTGAAGTGCTAACAGGGTAGCCATAGGCCTATAGAGCACAGCCCTGTACAGAAGATAGCCTTCTGTTTGAAGGCATCCTCTCTTTGGATGGCTGCTTAGTCCAACTTTCAAGATAAAGAATTTGAAGAAGGAAAAACAAGAATCATGGATGTGCTCATCAACACGTAGCATCTGCACAGCTGACTAATCAGCTGGTCAGTGTTCTCACTATAATAAGATATTATTTTTATTTAAATTATAATACTGATTTTTTAAAGTTTGTTTTGATAAATATAAATCAGCAATGCACATATTAGGCAATTCTGTGTCCTCATTTTTAGGCAATTCATTCCTCTTTTTGGTAAGGTTCAAGTGATCATCCTAAATGTTGGGGTGGGAATTGTTTTTCCAGACTCAATTTACTCTGAGGAGAAAAATTATTTCACCGGCTCTGCAAAGAGGAAGGAAGGGCGAGTCAGAGAATGGATTTGGACAACATGATAGCCCACTCTCAAGGATGAGTCTGCTGTTGTTGAAACTTGGATTATCAGTGAAACGTGTTATTGTGTTGTCAGAACCTCACTGTACACAACCCAACAACAAACAATGGGTTCTCTCCGTGGTTTAAAAAACCTGGATATTTAATGCACATGAATTCAGAAATGTAAGTATATTTCAACAACAAGCTGCGGTTCAGTGCCAACCCACACTCAACCCATACTCAAGCTTTGAGTGTGGATTCTCATGTTGTCTGAGCCTGCCATCTGACTGGGTTTCCATTATTACACAGGGAAAATAAGTTGTGGTGTTTATTTTCTCTTTCTGTACATGCCAGTCATGAATAACCGAATGAGCACAATTACCCTTGCTGGCATGGACTGAGATGAAGCCTGAGCCCAGCAAGCATGGGTGGCTGGGATGGTTTACAAAACACAAGGTAATCCTAGAACAAGCCATGGGTTTCAGTGTGGTTTATAAACCACCCAGTGTGGTTTATAAACTCACCCTTACCAGATTCAGATACCATGGGAAGCAGCACCCAGCAAGGATTATTATTCTAGTTAGGCAGCTTATAACAAGCATGGGTAGGGAAGGAAAATAAACCAGTGTAGGTTATTTTCCCACTGTGCTCATGGAAACCCTCCCTCTGTCTTTTGCCCTAGGCTTCTTTGCAGGACAGCAGTGAGGCTAAATTTCTGCTGCAGCTCCTAGGAAGAAGGGGCAGCAAATCCAATCAAACCAATAAATCTCACTAGTAAGAAAATCCTCTTACCTCATTTCCCGACATCTCACAGAACTGAGTAAAGATGTACCCTGCTCTGTTCTCTGTGTTAAGGGACTGCAGCATTCTTTCCATCTTGGAACTGCCCAGTTCAGAAACATCTGGGGACATTTTACCCTGGATAACAAAAAGCACAGTTCAATAAGTCACATATTTTCATTTTGTTTTGGATTTAAAAGCCTTTTTAGGAACTCCCATTGCATCTCTCTGCAAAAATGATGTAGTAGGGCAGTCAGATAAAGCTAATAGGTTGTCTAGCCTTGTTTCTCAACACAAGTTTCTTAGTTACATTATGTTTCTCTTATTTTGTATACTATTATGCTTGTCTTTTGCATGCCTTTCCTTCCTCTGCTTTCTTCTATTATTAGACTTTAGGGTCTATTAGACCCATACTCTCCCTTTTTTCTGATTATGCTGTGAAGTTCCATGGAAAAGCATGAAACTTTATACATAAATACTACTCATGCAATGGATGCAACAGACATGTTCTTTCTGCTTTATAATAGGCTTGATATAATAGGGGCCCTTTGAGGAATCCAGGGGAGGGGAGGGTGGGCAAGGTAGCTCTCTAGTCTTTAGTGAGGCCCCCACTGCCACCTGCCATTACATTGCCAAAATTCAGCATCAGGGCATCAACAGGGAAATGACTGATGATGCAACATGACAGCTGAAAAGAGTCCAGTGTACTTTTAAAACAAGAAAACTTTGGTCATTTTCAGTGTCTGCCATATTGTGCTGAAATCACCAGTTGTTTTGCTAGTAGCCTGGTGGCAGCAGTAGTAAACACAGAAATTGGATCCACGGATCCTCCAAAGTTGACTGCTCCTAATTTAGGGATCTTGGGTGCTCTTTTGTTGAAAGAGACTAGTATCACTTCAACTGGGTTTCCTCCTGTAACTTTTTGGAATAAAAGCAGTGATGCAGGGGAAGGATATAGAAACAGAAAGCAGCTAGGAAAGAGTTAAATATCCCTCTGTATCATCAGCAGCTTCTCCAGTGAAGGCTGGAATTTCTCAGAACTGCTTTTCATTTAAAAACAAATAAACCAAAGGGACTTGTTTTGTATCATTTGCCCCTTAAGCAGACTTGAAATTGGCTTACATTTCTAGTAAAGATGTGTGTAAGATAAAGGAATATAGGAACTGACTCGGCTTGTATAACACAGTAACTCACCATGGGTGATTACTCATGGTGGGTTGTTGTGATGTCCAAACCCAGTGAGGCTTCCACAGGGTGGCTTATTTTTTATGAATGAGCCACCCATGGATTGTTGTTGGGTTGTTCAGCATGGCTTCTTGTGATGTCCAAACCCAGAAGAGTGACTTCACTGTGGGCTGTCTGGAATGGTAAGAGAGCCACCCAGAGAGAGCAACATAACACCCTGGAGTTTCTCACAATCTTGCTAGCATCACCATCATCCCCATTCTTTGTCAGTGCCCCATACCCCTAGAAACTAAGAAAAAACAGACACTGGAGAGCATCCCAGACATTGTTTTCAGTCTTACACAAATGTGTACATTCAAAAGTCAGCAGTTAAGAAATCCGAATAATTTTGCCTTCTACTTTATTGCTTTTTCTTAAGATTTTCATATATTTACTGATCTCACTTACTGCTCTGCCTTGACATTTGCCTGATCCCTGTCACTGCTCTGTAATCAAAATGTGCATCTCATAGTAGCTAACAACAAAGAGCAGTGGAGGGAAGCAACTTTCACAAGC